CATGCAGAGACTAAGTTGCTATAGGCTGCTGGAGGGCTACGGTGTGTGCGACAGAGGTAAGTGAAGAAAAATCTGTCGTTGTACTGCACTTCTATGCTCCCGCATGCCCCCCGAATTCTACAACCGGCACTAAGCAGCATGGTGAAATTGATCGCATAACCTCGACTACACACAGGGCACGGGGGGGAAGTCATCATCTGGCAGTGAATTGATGAAATGGCAGCCCCTGTACACATGTTACAAGTTCGATTTTATACAGATGTTAAGACGTTTATCTTTTTCTTTGTATATATAAAAAAAAACATCCACATGTGCTGCTTGCGTTGGTGCGGAGCAGTTGGTGAGTCCTGCTCACTATAAAATATAAATCCTTTGTTGGCGCGCGCGTGCGTGCGAGCGTGGGGAGCGGTGGCGCAGCGGTTCGCGCTACGCTGCGCTACGAACCCGGCAACCCGAGTTCGATTCCCGCTCACGGCCAACACCAGTGACGATCATCTGAATCGGTTCTGGACCTCCCGTAGGTCGACTCAGCCACAAATGAGTACCCGGTGCGATGAGTGAACATCGCTACCGGGGAGACAAAGGCTATACGGAAGGGGACCTTTGTCTTGTGCGTGCGCGTGCGTGCGTGCGTCGTGGTGAATGTGCCGTGGGCTTGCGAGCGGCATCGCTCGTTAAAATATTAACTCAGCGCTCGAGTTCAGGGGCTTCCTGGGGTGGCGCGGAAGCAGCGCTCCGTTCCCGGAGCAGAGTTTGCGAGCGCGGAACGGGAACAGCTGTCGCGCACAAAATCGGCAACAACGTCTCGACCGCACAAACACGAGGAAACCGGATGATCTTCGCGACGACGACAACCGTGATGATGATGATGATGACAAACGTGTTCCATCAGGTACATCTGTTCATGAAAACACCTTTCTCTTGTAACATATAAAGGGGGCTCTCTTTTTATAAATGTATTGCACGTGTCGAGTACTTTTACTCACTTTCATTGCCATCATCATCAGCCATGGGCGATCCACTGCTGGATGAACGCCTTCCCCAAGCCATCGCAACTCACACGGTGTAATAATTAACTCAGCACCTGCATGCGAGCTGATTTCATCGCTACATCTCCGCGCTGGACTCACAGGCGCGTTCCTTCCTGGAGGCGCCATTCCATTGTCAGTCTCGACCACCGGCCATCATCCCCATCTCGCTTTTCTTAACAGCCAAGACGACGTCTCTACCTACAAGCATCACAATTTCAAATTGGGCTTCATTCCTACTCTGCCAGCATCACAGGCAACGTGCCCATCCTCACCATCACACTCAGAAGAATATTCGATCCCCCCCCCACCGACACACTCTGTCCTTCCTGCTCTTCCGCGGTGAAACACGAAGTGTTTATATTTCGTGTCTGTTCCCTGCCGTAGTCGCGAGCACCTTGCGTCTTTTGTCGGCCGCGCGAGGAGACGGGCCACGACGGTGAATATACGATCGGGCGAGCCGCTCCCAGAGACAGTGGGAGCCTGACCGGGAGAGCCCTGATCCATGAGGCTCTCCCGTGCGTAGCGATGTCAATTTATTTATTTCTTTACCCACGAGAAAGAAATCCACCTGGAACATCCCTCAGTATGGAACCACCTTGTGTTCCAGGCTGCCGCCCATGGTGTCGGATTGACGCACGCATAGCAATCACGCATGCAAACATTATAAAGAGTACCCCTTACACAGGATGCACTTGTACAACACAGCATAAACACGCCCGGCAAAACGCACAAAAGAAACAGGTAACACTAAATAAGTGTTTTTTTGGTTATTTCGGTAAAGTCACGTAGAAGGGAAACAATAAAATAATAAAAATATAAAACAGAGAATTTTATTGTTTTATGTTTTTATTATTTGATTGTTTCCCTTCTACGTGACTTTACCGAAAGAACCAAGAATATGAATCCCTGCAGTCACGAAAGCTTTAAATCAAAAACTAAATAAGTGCTTAAATAATTTTCATGACGCGCCAGCCGCCCGCTTCGTACAGAACGCACTCCGGCCGTGACGATGGCTGTGACCGAGTCTGGAGAGAGCGTCGGCAAAAGCGGCCTGGTGATGCCGAAACTCTTGCCGTCGGTCACGGTCACCGCATCGCGCGCTTCCAGGTGCGCTTCCGCGACCGTCTGGAACGCTCTCTTCCTTCCGATGTTAGGAAGTCACTGGAGCTTTGCTACTTTGGCGTCATTCAGAGATGGAAACGAATTTCTTTCGAACCGATTTTTGGGCGTATTTCGTTGTCCTTCACCCGCATCTCCGACGAGCACGGCTTGGCTACGTCACAGTACCAATCGTGGCCACGTGCTTTTGCGACGTCATCGTTCACAGCAGCACGTGCCTGCGGCACCCAAGTGGAGCATCGCCACTGTGTGGTCGAGGCTCTGCGAGGAGCACTGAAGCTCTTTTGAGGCATTGGGATAAGAATCCTTTGTGTGTGTTTAACTGTAGTAATAGGTTTTTACCCTTTCAACTGGTACAAAAACTGACACCTTTATACAAGGCATCATGTTTGCAATAACCACAACACAAGCAGTCAAAATGCAAACAAAAAGAAACAACTCTGATGATGATAATGATATGCACTGTCCTTGAAGTTGATTGGTCCACACCCGAGACAGCTTTTCTTAGAGCCTAGTCTCCATTGATGTTGGACCAGATGACGCCAAAAAGGCATATAAAGGTATCAGTTTTTGTACCAGTTGAAAGGGTAAAAACCTATTACTATATTTTGCCACTGGTAAAGGAGGTCTCATAGTGTGTTTAACTGTGTTTAATTAAGAAATATGAAATGTTTTTGGATGCGGGAAACATGTGGATGCAGCGGATTTTATATACGTAAGCACTCGATACGAAAACAACAAGACAACACTAGATGCTTAATAACGTTACGATTTGTCCACCTCACGATTCTACGATCGCTCATGATGCAACGACGTTTTTAGGAGTCGGGGGGAGTCCACGATTTGATTCCAAAATCGATTAATTTTTATATGAATACACAAATATCTATAAATATTGCAATGGGCGTGACTGCAGGTTTACAACGAAACAAAATAAATGGATTCTTACCCCGTGCGATTCCAAGCGCGGATCAAGACTGTTATTGTGCAACTTGGCATTCGAGTCTATCGAGAGCGGACGTCGGTCTCTGAAGGAGCGCTTGGGCACGTAAGAAACTGATCTTGAGTCGGTGAATCGACGCGTCCTTGTCACGCGTCCGCCAAGCGCGCGCTCGCAGATCGCCGCCGTCGCGAGCGGAGCAAAAGTGACAAACGCAGAGCACGTTCACGCAGCCCAGTCGGCCGAGGCCTTCCAGAAGCCGAGCCAGAGACGGCTGTTGCGTTTGGACCCGATTTTTGCCAAATTTCCAGAAACAAACAAATGATTGTGGAAGCTTTAGCCGCGTGCTGAACGCCAGCCCAAACAAGCCAAAGGTAGGTGTCAACTTAAACAAGTGAACGGCAAAAACGTCGCCGAAGCTATTGGCTCAGTGAGGGTTCGGACTTAAATTCACGTCGCTCCCACGCACGCCACGCGGACGCCGAGAAATGGGCCCAAATCAAATCACGCAGCTCGTGATGTTCTCGCCAAAAAAATTTACGTAGATAAATAACAAATAATACGCATGAAACCCCTGTTTTTTCACGTGAGTGAAAACAAACTGGATTATTGCAACCACATTGACTCAAACGTTCGACAAAAATAAACGCCCATTTATCCTCCTCCTTTCGGTAGGTTATAGTTTACCGCATTCTCATAAATAAATCGTTTTAAATTAAGTTTTGCATTAGTGGTCGAGTCAAATTGGTGGCAGTAATTCCGTTTATTATTCTTTCGGCCAAAAAGAGCTATTGTTAAACATCTCAGTTCAAGGCTTAAACGGTTCGTTCAGTAGCCGTCTCTAGAAGCCGAAGCACACAGGGGTTGTGTTTACACCATGACCTACGGTCTTCCCACAATGCACCTTGGGAACCTTGAACAATTCTCACCAAAAAAAAATACTCATTTTGAGTTACATGCATTGTTATTACGCAGTGCTCAATGTGTAAAGCCAACACATATCTGGGAGGCTCAACTGAGACACGTGCCTTCTTCAAGCCCTGCCCAGTTTTACATTGCCACACCCACTCAACCACTAGCTCTGCCAGAGAGGATCTGTTGGCCTACTCGTGTCTGCTAACAAAGCTGGCTAGTCAGGTAGCCCCCAACCCTTTGGCCCGGATCACGATTGAAGGCAAAAAAAAAAAGGAGGAACAAAATTCCGGACAGAAAGGTAGATAAATAAACAGCAGCTACGAAAGATAAACAGACGTTAGAAGAGATACACGAGTGTGTGTGTGTGTATGGGAGCGGTAGTGTAGCGGTTAACGCACTGCGCTACGAACATAGAAACCCGAGTTTGATTCCCGCTCACGGCCAACATCAATGACGATTATCTAAACTGGTACTGGGCCTTCCCTAGGTCGACTCAGCCTCAAATGAGTACCTTGTGCGGTGCATGAAAACATCACCACTAGGGAGACAAAGGTGGCTAGGTATGGTACTGGCAACCCACCCCTAATGTGCCGTTCTGGCCTTCATAGGTGCACGCTAATAGTGCTTGCCCCAACAGCCTGGTCAGGCTACATGGGGGATCTTTGTCTTTGTATAGACAGTTAGATAAATGGACATATAACAACAACCGCCATTCGCCTCTAAGTGGCGGTGACATCACCACGATACTTGTGCCAGGCTATGTACACCTTGAGGCCACGTGAAGTGTCGAACGCCCGCTGGCAGGAGGTCACGGGGCAGACCCAGATGCCACAGGTCGATGGACATATAGACAGATTGGCAGATAAACTGGCAGATGAATATGTGGGTAAATAGAGTGAGAGAAGCAGATAAGGAGATTTACAGAGGGTTAGACATATAGACACAGACAGGCAGATAACAATGTGAAGGCAGACAAACGGATAGACTCTTCTCACCTGTTGCTGCTGCTGCAGATGGACCAGGTCTGCAGTGCTCACCTCCGGGGCAGCTGTGAGGTCACAGCTCATCCTGCCCTCCAATTGGCCACCACTGCCATTGCTCGCTCCGTTCTGATTGGCCAGGCTACTCCCGGCGAGCTCCTTCAGGGCCTCCTGCATCATCATGGCTTGATGTCTGCACACACATAAAAACGAGACAAAAAAATCGTACATAACGCATACAGACAAAAACTAAGACACACACACAAACATACACACATGCACAAACGCGTGCAGACATACGCAGACACACACGTACAAAGACAAAGATCCCACGTATAGCTTTAACAGACTGTTGAGGCAAGTGCTGTTAGCAAGCACCTATGAAGGCTGGTGCGGCACACAAGGGGGTGGGTGGCCAACACCACGCCCGGTCACCTTTGTCTCCCTCGTGGTGATGTTTACACAACACAACAGGTACTCATTTAAGATAGAGTCGACCCAAGGGAAGCCCTGGACCAGTTCAGATAATTGTCACTGTTGGTTGTGAGCGGGAATCGAACACGAGTCGTCAGGTCCATAACGCGCTAATCACTGCACTACCGCTCCGACATACGCACACAGTGACATGCACACAAACACCCGCACACACTGAAACACGCACAAGCACACACGTAGACACACATACATGGTCACGACACATACGCGCGCATGCCCACGCATGCACGAAGACAGAGACTACCCCATATAGCCGTTAACAAATTGGTGGGGTAGGTAAAGTATCATTAGCGAGCATGCAGGCAGACGTACACACAAGTGTACACGCAGCGTCGAGATGATAATAACAATAACGAAAAAACGTTGCCGTTGTTTTAAACAAGCATTCTAAAGATGTGCATAAACACGTGGAAAATTGGTCTCTTTTCATGTGTTCGTTTTTGCTGCATCAAATTACGTATAATTTAAACAAAATGCAATGCACTAAGAAATAATATAATGATTGGGTGTTCCATTATAGAGGGGAACTGTGAACTGAATGCAATAAGCTGCTGGTAAAACTATGCTAAATTAGTTTCACCATATTCCGCTACTTATTATCACTTTTCCACCCCCCAAACCGTTGTTTGGGAGCTTTGGATTCAGGCTAGTTATTTGCTAGATTAATGTTGCGAGGGCCGAAAACAAATCTTATTCAAAAAATTAATGCTGGTAGCGACATGCGCTTGACAATTTCATCACCGTAATTAATAAGTGCCTGGGTCTCTGTTCGCTATGCAAATAACGGAGCGCCAGTGAATGGCACAAATAAAGGGGGGGGGGTGGTTGGGGGTCTGTTATCTTCAGAAATAACATGCGGCTGATTAAATGACAGCAAGTACGGGGGCAAGAGATGTGGTAATTGCTGCTTGAAATGTTAGGCACGTCCACCGCATTCTTGCGTCGCGAAAAAAATAATGCCGAAAATTGAAAGAACTGCGTTTCAGACTACACGTCGTTTTCGCCGGATTTGCATGACATGCGGCGGAGGCATTTTAATTAACCTAGCCACGTCCGAAAGAAAAAAAGAGGGATTCACATTCAGAATTAAGTCAACCAAAATACATCACCGTGTTTTTTTTTAAATTGCTTAATACAAGTACTGAAAGCTCTGTTTAAGCAGAATGTCATTTGTCATTTGAATTGTCCCAATGAGTTCATGTCTGCATTCTGATTTAATTCTATCATTGCAATTTTTTTTATTTTATACTTTTATTAGGCATGCAGCAGATAAGAATAAAATCTGACATTTAAAATTACAGATGTAATTAGTGTACACTCCAAGAAATGCAGTGCCATTGTAATTTTGGCAAGTAAAAATAATATATTCATTTTCATACTGCGGCTTCTGGCGTGGCAAATATTCACCAAGTCCATTTCAAGAAACAAACCCGGCACGGATTTCGTGCTGCCCGCATAAACGGTCATTACAAAGGCACGGATGTACATTTACACTTGGCATTCCCACTCCTTCAATACGCTTAAATGTTTATTTGCATCATTTACCCATTTATTCAAGAGCCACAGTCGCAGCCCGCATGATATTGTTCAAATTTGAAAGTGGCTTGGAAAGCTCACGATCAGAATTAATGACAGGCTCACGGGGTAAACGGCTCCACTGCCGAGTGCATGTGGCCGTGAAACCGAACGAACGAGGGGGGGGGGGGGCACGCAGCTCTCTGGCGAACGTGCGATGCATTTCAGCAGCCAGGCCCTACGCCGGCTCTTCGGTGACGGGCCGCACACCATCACCGTGGGCCCCACGACACCGATGCGAGTTTACGAGCCGACGTCGAGTGCGAATTGGTGGAGAAAAAACCGCGTGCGGCGCGTCGAAGCGTCGTTACCCGAGCGCGATCCGCCACCGCGGGGGAGGAGGGTTTTGTTCCCCGTGGCGGCGACGGCAGGTGGACGTCGCCGCACCGACGCTATCGTCCCAAATCAAGCACGGGGCAGATGAAGCTCCGTGCCCTTTCAAATGGCAATCGCCAGGGTGGGATGGCGGTTTGGTGCACGCGGGTCTCTTCCCGACCCTCACCACCCCCCAAAGACTTGCCCCCCCCCCCCCCCCATACTATAATGAGCACTGGAGTTCATTGTCAAGACATCACGCATGGGTTTTTTTCGTTCACGCGGTAATAGCGGCCGACGATCCACGCCTGTGGGTGAACTCGCGCCCGTGCCGCTTCAATGTTCGGCCCCCCTCTCCCTACCCCAGATCGAGGCGAAAAGTCTTCACGCCAACGACGATCCCGACGACGATCGCACGCAGCGGCAGCGACCACGAGGGGCAATGAGCAGGGATGGAGCGCTGCGGCGAGCAGGGAATGCGCCAGACATCGTCCTTTAAGGGGCAATGAATAGAGGACCCCTTTGTCCTCGTCGTGCACAAAAAAAACAAACACTGGACAAAGTGAGTCAAGGGAGTTTTGTTTTGAAGACAAATACAGCTGGACAGTAAGACATTGCAAATGCAGCCATTGGCAAGCCCCAAACAAACACACTACCCATCAGCTCCTGTTAATGTATAAACTAGGACAAACAAACAACCATCTGTGAGCATGCTTCCCTATCACAGGTACACAAAACTCTAAACCCGTAAAAGCAAAAACAATGAGAAGGGTGGTAGGGGTTGCGGCTACGGGCTCCGGGAGAGGGGGCCGGTTGCTCAGCACGTGTGTTTGATGTGCTTTGTTTGCCGAAGGAACCCAAGACCAAGCCTCATCTTCTTGGCAAACAACCATTGTTTACAGGTTAATGGATGTGCCTCTTCAAAAGCGAGCGGCCGTTGCAAATAGAAGCAAGAAACAGTAAAGAATGCATTTCGACGTAAAAGCAGAAAGCTAATTTCGCCCGTGGCCCTTTCAGTAGGAAACGTTAACACGAAACGCGTAATTACTGCAGACGTGTGAACTTTTATTAATTATTTTGAGCGACAGACACTCACTTGGTACGAATATAACGGAGCCGTGGCCGCGTCGAGGCCAATCAGAAAGGGAGTGGCAGCCCAAAGGAGGGAACAGCTGTGGGAGGCCTTCATCCAGCAGTGGATAGAACACGACTACTGACGACTACGGCTGCAAACTATATAGGATTTATGATTGTCACAGTGGTCACAATAAAACATCTTTCATGTGAAGACTGCCCCCTACAATGCTGTTGGCCAGTATTTATCGTTGCGTTACCGATACATTCCTTACAATTTATACAAAATGCCACATCCAATTTGTATTTTCCAAAGGGTGGATATTTCTTTGAATTGCATTTGTTATAGAGTAGAATCATTAATACATTTAATAATTAAAATGTATAAATTTACGTATAATTATTTTTCAATTGCATTACTTACGCCATTTGTTAAAGTACAGGACATTATTTTAACCGTTAATTGTTTTAAATGCCATTCTGTATTATGATAGCATTCAAACACCGCTAACTATGATAATCAATAAATTTACACTCATTATGAATGTTTAATATTCAGTCTTCTATCCTCTGTCGGGAGCATAAACCGCCACGCAAACTCCGGTCATCCCTCGCAGCGGCTTTTGGCTAAGCCATCGAACAAAGACGTTGACCGCATCGCGCGCTTTCAGATGCGCTTCTGCGGCCGTCTGGAACGCTCTTCCTTCCGATATTAGGAAGCCACTGGAGCTATTACTTCAGCACATCGGTGTGATGTAAATGTTTTGGGTTTACTCGCCATCACACCGATATACTGGCACGTGTTGTTGACGTGAACAACCTTATTAATTGGCTGCGTCGGTGGTGGTGGGTTTAACGACACACTCATATTCACACGGATGTATCCCAAAAAAAACGTCATTATGAACCCTTAAGAATCTCTTTTCAAGAGGGTCCCGCCTAAGACGCCGCCAGTCCAATGCCCCTGTACCATTCCCCATTCCCCTGCAATGTGCAATGGTTGGGGTGAGATTGGTAAAACTGAAGATTCGTTAATTCATTTTGCTCTCCGCAACACGAATGGGTCAGCGCAAACATCTATGTTGAGAGTGGCGGTGGGAGGGAACTGTGGGGGGCTGACAGTATACTTTTGCATCCCCCACCAAAAACATCCCTGTGGACTGGAATGTAGGAGCCAATTGACTTAATTTAAGCCAATTGCCCTAATTGAAATTTATTGGCCTCCAACGTTATTGATTATCATCATGTTCCACGATTTATCCACTGCTGGACGAAGGCTCCCCCCCCCGCCGCCAGCCCTCGTGGTCTCATGATGAAGCAAATCGATCTCCAGCTCATGCGCGCGAGCTGATTTCGTCGTTCAAACTCCGCGATTGTTCGAGTGATCGCCCCATAAAGTTCAGCACAGCGTCGCTCGGTGCAGAAGCAGTGCGGCCACGTAATCCGCAGTGAAGATTCCAACACGTACCAGCTACGCGTGTGACCAATATGCCACGTGTCTTATCCCGTCGGCTACGGCTCCTGCGCAGGGTCAAACCGCTGCTGTATACCCTCTGCCTTTTAGATGCACGTTGCCGGGTGCTCTGCCTCTCACCCGAGAACCAGATATAGATCAGCACGGCTTGGCAGAGGTGAAGAAGCCAGAATGCTTGGTGACAATGTTATGGACGAGGGTCGGGGGTCAAAACACAAGCGGAGAGGTCACACGCGTGTGGATTAGAAGTTAAGCCGGCC